TGAGTTAGGAAATATTCCCACTGCTTTTATTTTCTGGAAAAGACTGTAGAAAATTGGTATATTTTCTTCCTTAAATGTTTGGTAGAATTTACCAGTGAAGACATTTGGATCTGGTGCTTCCTATTGTATTGATTCAATTTCTTTAATAGATATAGTCCTATTCAGATTATCAATTTCTTATTATATGAGTATTGATAGATTATATCTTTCAAGGAATTGGTCCATTTCATCCAGGTTATCAAATTTGTGGGCACAGAGTTGTTTATAATATTCCTTTATTATCCTTTTAATGTCCATGTTATCAGGAGTGATGGCCCCTCTTTCATTTATAATATTAGTAATTTGTATCTTCTCTCTTTTTCTTAGTTAGCCTGGAGAGAGCTTTATCAATTTTATTGATCAATTCAAAGAATCAGCTTTTGGTTTCACTGATTTTCTCTATTGATTTCCTATTTTCAACTTCATTGATTTCTGTACTAATTTTTATTACTTCTTTTCTTCTGCTTTGGATTTAATTTGCTTGTCCTTTTCTAGTTTCCTAAAATGAAATCTTAGATTGCTGATTTTATCTCTCTCTTCTTTTTAGCATATTTATTCAATATTATAAATTTCTATCTAAGTACTACTTTTGCTGCATCCCACAAATTTTGACAAGATAAATTTTTATTTTCACTTACTTTAAAATATTCTCTTGAGACTTCTTCTTTGACACATGTGGTACTTAGAAGTGTGCTGTTTAATCTCCAAATATTTTTGGATATTCCAGCTGTCTTTCTGTTATTAATTTTTAGTTTAATTCCATTATGACTGAGAGCAGACACTGTATGATTTCTATTCTTTTAAATTTGTTAAGGTGTGTTTTATAGCCCAGAATGTGGTCTGTCTTGGTGAATGCTCCATGTGAGTTTAAGAAAAATGTGTATTCTTCTGTTGTTAAATAAAATATTCTATATAAGTCCCTTAGATCCAGTTGACTGATGGTGTTATTCAGTTCAACTATACCCTTGCTGACTTTCTTCCTACTGGATATGTTCATTTCCAATAGAGCAGTAATCAAGTTTCCAACTATAATAGTACATTCATTTACTTCTCCTGGCAGTTCTATCAGTTTTTGCCTCACATAGTTTGACACTCTGTTAATAGGAGCAAACACGTTAAGGCTTGTTAACATCTTCTTGGAGAATTGACCTCCTTATCATTATGTAATGTCCCTCTTATCCCTGAGAATTTTCTTTCTCTGAAATCTCCTTCGTCTGAATTACTATAGCTACTCCTGCTTTCTTTTGACTAGCGTTAGCGTAGTATACATGTCTCCAATCTTTTACTTTTAATCAATATGTGTCTTTATATTTAAAGTGAGTTTCTTATAGACAACATACATTTGCTCTTGTTTTGTAATCTACTCTGACAGTCTCCATTTTTTTATTGTTGTTGTTTTGCTTTGTTTTGTTTTGTTTGATATATGATTATATAAGAAGTATCTTGCATTTAAGTAATGGCAAAGGCGTTGACATCCTTTGCCATGGAGAGCACATGGAGCAGCGTATGTCTTTAATTGGTGTATTTAGACCAATCATATTTAAAGTGATTACTGATAGTCGGATAAGTAGCTATCATATTTGTTATTATTTTCTATTTGTTGTCCTTATATTTTTCTTCTTTTTAATATTATCTTCCACTCTTTTGTTGCCTTCTCTGATGTTGACTGAGCATTTTATATGATTCCTTTTTCTTTCCTCTCTTAGTACATTAATTATGCTTTTTAAAAAATTTTTAAGTGGTTGCCCTGGAGTTTGCAATATACATTTACAACTTATCTAAGTCCACTTTCAAATAACACTACACCACTTCATGGGTAGTGCAAGTACCTTATAGCAGAGTATTTCTAATTCCTCCCTCCTTCCCTTATAACATGCTGTCACTTATATCACTTATCCATAAAGTATAATCACCCAATATGTTGCTGCTGTTATTATTATTTTGGATAGAGTGTCAGTTTTTAGATTAATTAAGAATAAGAAAAACCATATATTATTTACATTAATTTATTCTTTCTCTAACACTCTTCTTTTTTTTTTGGTAGATCCAAGTTTTTGCCCTTTATCATTTTCCTTCTGTCTGAAGACCTTCTTTTAACATTTCTTACAGGGCAGATCTGCTGGTATAGTAACAAATTCCCTCAACTTTTGTTTGTCTGAGAAAGTCTTTATTTCTTCTACACTTTTAAAAGGAAATTCCACTGGATACAGAATTCTAGGTGGGTGGGGTTTTTTTCTTTCAACACTCTAAATATTTCACACCACTCTATTCTTGCTTGCCTGATTTCTGAAGATAAGTCCAATGTAATTTTTATCTTTGTTCCTGTATGAGTAAGGCGTTTTTTTTTTCCCCTGTGTCTTCAAGATTTTCTTTTTGTTTTTGATTTTCCAGTCTGACTATAATATGCATAGGTGTGGATTCTTTGACATTTATCCTTCTTAGTGTTCTCTGAGATTCCTGGACTTGTAGTTTGGTGTCTCCCATTATTTTGGAAAATTTTCAGTCACCGTCACTTCAAATATTTCTTTTGTTCCTTTCCCTCATTTTGTCCTTCTGGTATCCCCATTACATGTATGCTACACTTTCTGTAATTGCCACACAGCTCTTGGATATTCTGTTCTGTTTTTTTTCCATTCCTTTCTCGCTTTGCTTTTTAGATTGGGAAGTTTCTATTGACATATCTTCAAGCTTACTAATTCTTCCCTCAACCCTATCCAGTCTACTGATGAACTCATCAAAGGCATTCTTCATTTTATTGGAGTGTTTTTGATTTCCAGCATTTCCTTTTGATTCCTAGAGTTTCCATCCCTCTGCTTAAATCTCCCATGTATTCTTGTATCTTTTCCTTTCTCTTAGTAGTTATTTTAATCATAGTTATTTTAAATTCCTGGTCCAATAATGCTAAAATATCTGCTATATCTAATCTGGTTCTGATGCTTGTTTTATCTCTTCATAATGTTTTTTGCCTTTTTCATGCCTTGTATTTTTTTTAAGTCAGAAATGGTGTATTGGGTAAAGTGAACAGAGGTAAACAGGCCTCTAGTGGGAAGTTTTATGTTTACCTGGCTAGGAGTTGGGCTGTGTTTACTGTTTGCTGTAGCTGCCACATGAGTAGCTGTAATTTCCTGTCCCCCTTGTTATCTTTGGTTTTCCCTAGAGAATCTATGTTAAATAGGGTCTGAGGCCTTCAGTTCTTTCAGTTGTAATCCCCTGTTATTATATAGAGCTCTGTTGTGGTGGTGGTAAAATGTGTAGGGAGGAGAAGCATTCTATAGTCCTACAATTAGGTCTCAGTCTCCTAGTGAGCCTCTGTCCTTGGGCTGTGACTTTCACAAGTGCTTTTCAGCTTTTTTCCCTCTTAGGTGAAACAGGAAGGCTAGGGTTGGGCTAGAGTTGAGTATTTCTCTTTCCCCACATGGAAGGCTAAGGGGGTTGGAGTTGTATATCTCCCTTCCCCTACATCAATGGCCACAGGGTGTCGGAGTTTAGTATACTGTTGCCTCAGGTCAGTTAGGTTCTGGTAAAACCACGTAGTTTAAGCTCTGATAAAACAGTATCCTTTGAGGGCAGGCCTTTGTTAAGAAAAACAGAACACTCAGCATATTTTGAAACTCCCCCTGCCAGAGCATGAGGGGAATTTGCTCAGGTTTTCACCTTAAGAACCTGATGGGGCTCCTGGAGGTAAAACTCATAAAAGCATAAGGACCCCCTAAGGATGGTCCCCCAGGAGTTTTTATCTCTCAAGCTAGGTCCATACTGAGTCCTCAACAATCACCCTTTAAATGTTTCTACCAGGCTTCAGCTGTGGCTTCTCCTTCCTATAAGCTGTGATTCTCTGTATCTGCCTATCTCTCCAGTTTAGGGGATAGCTGTACCCTGTGAACTCAATCTCTGATGGATTTAAAACAGCTGTTGATTTTCAGATTGTTTCACTTTTTTCTTGATGTGAGAACAGGAGTGACAACTTCTCAGCTGTTTAAATGTCAGACCAGAAATAAGAAGTCCTTTATGTTCTCCTCCATTATGACATAAGTCTACCTTAATCAGTCCTTTTCTGACTTCTCATAACATAATATTTATAAGTTTTCTGGCATTCATCTTATTTGCCTTTGCTTAACATTTCATTTTTTATGGGACAGTTCACTCTTGAGGTTATAATACCTCTTTAAAGTAAGACATCATAACTTATTTTGTATGCTTAATAACTGATGAATTTCATTAAGATTTGGGAAATCATATTAAAATATCTCAGAATTCCTCTGTTGTCTTAATCCTAAGGTTTAGTGGGAGAATGAAAGTCTCAGGGAAAGGAATAATAGAACTCTTTTCCCAGATTTTCTGTTTGTAAGAAAATTAGAATTTTAGCCAAGTAATGTATATAAGACCTGCTTTCCTGCAGAATGACTTCTGAGTCACTGAAGTTCCTAAAAACATCATTTAACCCTGAGTTTGTATACATTAGCTGCAGTTTGATTATTGAGTAATAATAATACTTATAATTTATACAGTACTTACTATATGAAAGTCACTGCTAACAGTTTTTCCTTTACTATTTTTAGCCTCACAATGACCTTAATGAGTGGGTATATTTTTATTCCTACTTTGTAGTTGTAGAAACTAAGACTTGGAAAAGTTAGGTGACTTCTCCAAAGTCAAACAGTGATATGGAATTCAAAAGATGTGGAATTCAAACCCAAGTTTATGTGATTACAGCCAACATTCTTAACTACTTTGCTACATGGCCTCCCAGGTACCTCTACTTTGCTGCATGGCCTCTCAATCTATCTCTACTCTATAAACCCCACTTTTTCAAATGAATATCTCTTTATCTACCCTTCTGACTTCAAATTATTAAACCTTATTGAAGAGAAATAGACTAGCCCTGCTAGTCCAAGATGTCCAGTAGGTCTTGCATGACATTTTTCTTAACACACCAAGTTTTGGGAGGACAGTATACATACTATTGGTCAGCAGGTGATTCTGCTGCAGTGGATTGAGGGTAGGAGCACCCCCAAGGCCTGGTTGGCCAGCCAGGGCTGCATGAGCAATTCCATGTTGGGGTCCCGGAGCAGCAAGAGGAGACTGCATCTTATCTTTATCCCATGAGGATTCACTTCCACCTGAAAAACATTCATATGAACAGATTGTAATTTGACAACTTTCCATGAGAAGACTTTTTCATTTAATTCCCTTTCTAGGGTTGTAATTATTAATATTACTTTTGAGAAAACCATTATTAAACATAGGTAACTCATTTTTATGATGGTTTCAAAACTTTCAACAGCCTTGGATTTAAGCTGCCTCTGGGAAGACTAAACAACTCTCACTAATAATATAGGCCCACTTGCCTTATAGGTAGTCTAAACAAATCTGGAATCATAATGAATAGCTTTTGAAAGCACTTATATGTTGAAGGCCATTAACTGATCACTACTACCTCCCATTCCAACCCTATAGCATACTTGTGCAATATTTTAATGATGAGCAGTTGCTGTTCACACAAAAAGAACATACTCATTTATAAGAGCATGATAGCATACAAAAATATGTGGTAAGAAACAAAATGATCAGTTATTTTGTTCTCAGATCCAGCCTTCAAAAAGCTAATCTCTTCATACATAGCAGGCTTTTGTACAGAATAATCTGGATAAAACATAAAATCATGGCCACCAATTTGAAATTGCACTTTACTTTGATCATCTACGCTAGAGAGTAAAGTGTGCATAAGTGCAGACTACTATACTATCACGATGATCTACACTGGCATAGCTACTTCATCTGGCACTTAGTATACTGTGAGGACAGAACCATTGCTTGAAACCATGTAGGAAACAACCACAGAATTATTTCCAGGGCATCCTTTTAAGGAGAATACGTTAAACAGAGAGGTAAGGGGTTGAATTCCAATCACTGCAGTAGCAGATAGTCTGCCTTTAGAAAACAAAATGGTTATGTGGGCAGCCCCACCTATTAGCTTAATGTGCTTCCTTCATTCAGGGGTCAGTGGTTCTGCTCCCATTCCCAGGCTGGGATTGTGATATTAGCATCTCCACCTGGCTGACTCTATCCTATCTGCTGCCTGAAACACTGACCCTGTTTTGTGGAGGGGTTTAGGCCTGGGAATCTTGGGCACTCTGTAAAATATGTGCATTTACTGGTCTAAAAAATAAGGTAGAAAGAAATCAACTCGTTCATATTCCTAACATTCAACATTGTAATTATTTTCATTTCTTTGAGTTCCCTCCCAGGCTTTGTTCATATGGATACTCATTTTTACATTGTAAACACTCTGCCATGTTGCTTCAGGTATCATATTTACAAAATGTAATGGCTACGTAGTAGTCTACTGAGTTAATGTTACTATAATTTATTAAACACTGGACTTTGAGTTTGTTTCAAATTTGTCACTATTATAAATTACACCACCACAACAACATTCATTTGAATTATATCCTTAGAATCAATTAATTCCCTGGAATGGGATTTCTGAGTCAAAGGGGTTGAATGTTTTTATACTTTCGCTTTCAAGAGCCACATTTGCAAAAGCAGTTTTTAGAGTAGCAGACTTTTTAGGGAAAATTTTTTCAGGGCCAATTGATATTCTCCCTGAATATTTAAAATGTATTTAAGAAAATTGTCTGCTAGAATCTCTGAGAGGTTTTGTTTTTTTTTTTTTGTTTAATCTTTCTACCCATTCATCTACTCTTACCCCAGCTCTGGAAATCTACCACCTCCTCAGGAGTCTTTCAAGCCCCCTTGTGGCCCAAGTCAATCTCTAATCCAAAAGTGGGAGTCTTGGCCAGTCTCCAACTAGATGAGTTCCAGGCAAGGAAACACCAGATTCTTTAGCAACATATGTAAAGGCTGAGGGGTACCTGGCCCTGCCTATGCAGACAAAGCTTTTCCAATCAAATGGGGAAGAAATAAGTAGCTAATTGTTCAGTTCCTGTTATAAGCCATTAGGTTAACACACAGAAGCTTAGAAGGTAGGAAATTTGGTTGTATTTGATAGACTGGCTTAATGGACCAGAAATCATTCTCTTGATCATGTTGAGGTTTGGTGTGTTCATTGAAAACATGCAACATTCCTATGATTACACCAATTGTTCTCTCTTTTCATCCAGATGTTTGTTGTTGTATAGTCACTGCCTAAGAGCAGGGAGGTAATTTATGGCTGGTGCATTGATATAATTTAGCATTCATACATTTGAAATTCCAATTAAAATCAATAAGGTCGTTATGCTGTAATGATCAGGAACGGCATGGGGTTGGGGGGTATCTTAATAAATGATCAAAGTAACCACACTGCAACACTGAAAGTTCTTTATAGTAACATTGGGCCGATAAACATGATTAATACTAGAAAATGCAAAAATTTGAAAGATCAATTGCTGAGCAAAAACAAAACCACTCCATCATTTTAGGACTATCTCTAAGATATGAATTACCTCACCATTACAGAACTGTAATTCGTAAAATGATGAGCAAAACATTGACAAAGAAAGATACATTTAGAAGACATTGAATTATACCACTCATATTAATATGGCATTGCACTATCACAACAGCAATAGCATAAAGCAATACTAGAGCTGAGACTATGTCAATATTTATTTTATAAATTGAAAATTTTATAATCCACATTCAATATTAAATGGTACATTAGGTATTAGTCTAATGTTTTATACGTCACATATTCCAAATAAACTTTAATAGAAATATTTTTTTAAACCTCATTAAGGATTTTAAGGCATTTTGTGTAGGCTTTGATGAGAGCTTTAGATGTACTTTTTCCAACAACTCTCATCTTTTTAACTACTGTGTTAAAAATGAGAGAAGGAGGGTGGTTACCAACTGTTCCCATCTTCACGAAGTATGGATATAAGAAATTATCCTGCACTTTGAAGGCCACTGTATATAAAGAAAGTGACTGAAGAGTGTGGGACATCCTTGATATTTGCATTAGGAGGCATTAAAACTCTGGACATATTTTTATCTTTTGACCTAAAATCAAATTTTTAAGTCTATAGAATTGACTATGACTTAGTCTGTAGGCTTTGGTAGCCCCAAACTTTGCATTGCCCTATGCCCCTTTGCCAATCTGTAATAATATCCACTGGCCTTGAAGCTAACAAAATATTTTTACCAATCTTATCCTAGAGTCAAACTTTCTTTTTTTTTTACCACTATGTGAAGGGCTTGGGTATCCACTTTCCTTTTCTATTTATCTATCTATCATCTATCTATCTATCTATCTATCTATCTATCTAACAATCTATAGATGTATTAGTTTGCTAGGGCTGCCATAACAAAATACCATATACTATAGTCTGAATTTTTATGTCTCCCAAAATTCATATGTTAAATCCTAATCCCTAATGTGATGGTATTTGGAGGTGGGGTCTTTGGCAGGTGATTTAGGGATAAGTGCCTTTATAAAAGAGACCCCAAAGAGCTCCCGAGCCCCCTTCTGCCATGTGAGGACACAACGAGAACATGGCTGTCAATGAACCCGGGAGTGGACCCTCAACAGACACTGAATCTTCCAGCACCTTGATCTTATGCTTCCAGCCTCCAGAACTGTGAGAAATAAACTTCTGTTGTTTATAAGCCACTCAGTCTATGGTATTTTTGTTATAGTAGCCCAAATGGACTAAGACACCACAGAATAGGTAGCTTAAACAACAAAAATTTATTTTCTCAGAGTTCTGGAGGCTAGAAGTCCAAGATCAAAGTGTCAGCAGGTTTAATTTCTCCTGAGGCCTTTCTTCTTAGCTTGCAGATGGGCACCTTCTCCCCGTGTCTTTACATGTCTTTCCACTATGTGTGCACATCTCTAGTGTCTCTCCGTATGTCCAAATTTCTTCTTCTTATAAGGACACCAGTAAGATTGGATTAGGGTCCACTCTAATGACCTCATTTTAACTTAATGACCTCTTTAAAGATGCTATCTCCAAATATGGTCACATTCTGAGGTACTGGGGCATAGGGCTTCAACACACAAATTTTGGAGGGACACAATTCAACCCATAACATTAAAGTATGCACTCTTTACTGAACCAGATCATACTAGCTTTGTGACCGAATCCCTCTAGTAAAGAGGAGAAAAACTGGACAGCATTTAAACAAAGCACGTCTAAGAAACCAAGTAGGCAGTGGGTTGGGGAAAATAGAGAAGCCTCATCAAAGCGTTCATCTTTGCATTAAGAAACTTTATATAAAGTATAGACCTAACCCTAAGGTTAGTCCTAAGTAGAGAAAGATAGTGCAGAAAGTGCAGCAAATCCTCAAGAATTGAATAAATAATTTCAGCTTTTCCATATCAATCACTTATCACTATTTTAGCTCAATGTTTAGTAAAACTAAAGTTATGAAATAAACAGTATAGGGATGTTACTACATAAATCCTACAGTTAATTAATTAATTTAATCCCAACCTTTTCAATGGAAAAGCTAGAGAGAACTACATTTTTTATAAACCCCTACCTAGCAGAAATATATATTTTTAATTAGAATCAATGTAAGAATAATGAAGTGATGAATTATAGGGAAATATTAATTTGACAAAATTTTGCTGTCTTAGTTAAAAACTCTTAAGCTTGAAATTTTAAATATTTTTCTTTAAAACCCATTGTAAAATGTTAGGGTTCCCAGATGATTGTTTAATTTTGCTGCATTTTCTTTGTGGGGGAAGTGGCCAGAGGGCAGAGTCCCCATGAGTCATGGGGACTTTGCAATAGACGAATAGAATTTCAGAGATAGAAAGGACCCTCATATCCATTTATTTAAAAATAAAATTTAAAAAAGGAGCAGGACCATAAGATGAGTAGAACCCAAGACAGTATTTTAATTCACTAAAATTTTGCCTAACTAGTACTCTTCCAACTCCCATTCTTCCAACACATCTAATAACAGAATGCTTACTATGGTCAGGTTTGTGAAAAGCAATGGAAAATATTACGTGTTTCAAACAAATTATTATAGGCCTACAATCCAAAACCACACAGTATTTCAAATGTATACAGAAGAAATCCAGAAGTAAGGCTCGAAATACAAATACCAAACATCATTCTTAACTGTAGCACTCTCATTTCATCAGACTACTGGTCCTCACTTTCTT